CAGAGTTGCTAGTGTGCCTGTAAACCTTTGGTCTTAACTTATATCAGGTGTTAATTAAACTTGCTGGTCAAATTCTAGTGTTGCTCTGCAAAAATCTATTTCAGTCTCTTTGAGTTAGTGTGCATAAGAGTGAGAGCATACTTCTGAGTGACTCTTCTACAGTGATGACGCACACCAAACAGGAAAAAGGAACAGTGGTCACAAGCGAACCCTTTCCCCCAGCGATTGAAACACGTTTTAGCAGAGTTTGTTTCACAACACTTGGATAGCCAAACCAAAAAACACACCATAAGCTTCACCAAACTAGTAGGGATTCTTTCCACCTCTTCTATGTTCTGTAGTCAAATTGGGTCAGATTTACTTAAGGAGTTGGAAACACTACACTATCAAAGTGTCTTGCCTGTTGCTGAGTTGGTAGGGCTGTCTGCCTGGGATGAGAGTCTCTGTGAGGTTGGCACTAGGCTTACTTCCAGGTCCAGCAAACACAAATGCATCTAGAGGCTGTATCTGGCTCAGCTGGCTGCCCATGGGGAAGTCTGAGGCTCTGCCACTGTAAATAGCAACTGCCCCAGACTCATCTCCTGAGAAGAAAACATAACAGGAACAACGCATATAAAATTAAACGAAAGTGAATGAATGAATGAAAATTGATCTAAACAAACTGAAACTCTGCACAGCTTCAACATGTGAAACCTGATTAACTAAAAAGTGGAACCGGCCTAGATATCTAGATACAATGTGGGTAGGTTGTATTTTTCAGAGCGTTAGAGCAATATTATGACAACCCACAGCACACTGACCTTTCATGTACTTCTTCCCTATGTTCTTGGACATCAACCCATTCCTGGGGGTGTCCACACGCACGTCCACACTCACAGTGACTGTGTCGGTTTTTCCATCCAACACTACCAGCACCAGAGGACCTGCGGCTGGAGCCTCTGTTAGCTCCACAAGTCCGTCCACCTGCCCTCCTCCCAGCTTCAGCTCAGTAATGACAGGAATGGTTGCTGGGGCGGCAGGCGGGGTGCAGTTATTCCTCTGACCTGGGGAGGGTGAGGACACCTGAAAGCCCCAGCGATCTTCTGACAGCAGGCACCTCTCAATTGACTCGTCCCCCTCCAGTGCTGTTTCATCTTCTACGAAGGCTGGTTCCCCGGGTGTCAGAGTTTCAGCCAGGAATTCTGCACCCCCAGTACGGCGAGTCATGTACACGACGGCGTCCACCAGCCCGACGGCGGAGACATTCATCTTCTCACTGTAGCGAGCAGCAGACGTGTGGTAGAGGACGATGGCGTCTGGGCCGTTCTGGACTGTGTTGGGAGGCAGGAGGATGGCCGGTTTGGGCAGCATGTCCACCGAGCCCACCAGGAAGAATCCTCTGTCATCTGTGCTGTGGCCTTTGAGGTCCAGCACCTTGTAGGCTACGTTTCCATTCCCATTATAGAACACAAGCGTGTAGCCGTCCAGAGAAGCCCGTTGTCCGCTGGTGTGATACAACTCCACAAACTCAGTGGTGTCCAGTCTGGGGTTGTCGGCGTTGATCTCGCTGATGATGAGGCAGGGGTCACCACTGACCACCACCACCAGGCAGAGACAGGCCGCACAGGCCAAACTGACCACCATGATTTACAGCTTCCCTGAAATACCTGCTCGGGCGAGCTTCTGCAAAACAAAAGACCACCAGTTGCATTCCTCAGTGAAATAATACAACAGAGTAAGCGACAGTTCATACTGTGATTTTATTTTAAAATGACAACACAATCTGAGCCACAGAAAAGGCCGCTGTGGAAGCCTGTTCACAGCACTGTGATCAAATCTAATGTTTACTACTTGCAGACCAGATTCCCTAGAGGAGAAACCTCATAATATCATGAATGAGTCTTCTATGAATCTATTTTTTGTTCATAGTGGTGACACTGGGAGTGGACGTCTTCTGCATGAGTCATGTAAGGTTGCGAAACACACTGGCAAGCATTTGGGGACTTTGCATGAAACGGCAAAATGCTTTAGCTATGAATAAACAGGATTATTAGACTAAATGGACAGATCATGTAAAATAAATTGGAGCGGTGCCATTTTTTATCCCAGGATCAGGATCAAGTCCAACGCAAATCCCAGTACATCCCTAGATCACTCACAAAGTCGTCACAGCTTTAACGTTAGCTTCCAAAATGAGTCTTAAAGAGGCTACATTAGTTTGCACGACAGCCCCTCTCTTTAAACCGCGTTGGGACATAAAGGGAGACGTCTTATAAGATGAAGGGAGAGTGTAAGGAATGAACGTGTGCCCTGAAATTATCTCCCATCTCACGGCAGTTATTCAAGTCACGGTTTGGCTGCTATGCATGCATCTTTCCGTCGAATAAAAACGGGAAGAACTAGGCTGTCAATCTGCTTTCTCTCAGTGCCACACAAGGTCCTAAAAAGGCTACGGACTTACTATATTTTCTTGGTCCTTGTCGGCCAGGTGTCGCTTGTTGCACACGTCGAAACCTCTCAGTTGAATGTAAAATCGTCACCCGTCGGAAGTAATTTTGGTAAAGTTTTGTTTCCTGCCCTCCGCCGCTCCCTTCATTCACAAAGCAGCACTTTCTCCCCCCGGACTGTGGGCGGTCAGACTGACTGAGGGGGATGATGCCTGCCAGGGAAGCTCTCTCTTTTTTTCTACGGCTCAGTTCACCATTCAGCCATCCACAGCTGAAGATAAAACACCAGCAAAGCAGCAAAACCTCATGCTTGTGGAATAAAAAGGCGGGTTAAGTGTAACCCCCACTCCAGAAATTGTACTTATACTGTGAAACTGTGGTAATTTATGTTTTAGAGAAAAATAATACCACGGCCTTGGGTTCATCCCAGTTAGCCTCGTAAAAGATCTGAAGGGGGCCCCTGACCCCACTTTGAAATAGGGGAGAGCTGGTTCCGTTGTAACACTTCAGTGACAGCCAAGGTCCCGCCCAGAATCAGGTTTAGTTTTCACCACACAATTCAGTTTGGTTTTTGAGTGATTTTTGTAAAAAGTTTTCTTTCATCTCACTTTCTCCAAAGCTGTACTGAGTGGTGGACAAACTACTCAGATCTTTTACTTAGGTAAACATCAATACCACAGTCATGCATTCAGAATTTCACTTAAAAGTAGTACTAGCATCCATACATAGCTGGATACATAAAGTAACTTCCTCATTATGCAGAATGGCCAATTTCAGAATAATGTATATTATTGAATTATAATTATTAATGCATCACTTTAATATTGCAGTTGGTAAAGGTGGAGCTGATTTTTAACTATATGGGCTACTGCTGGGTAGTTTATGAGTTTTACCAAGGGGTCAATAACGTTTTATCTCTAACCATTATAATACATTTATTTGTTGATTATATTTTGAACCTTTAATCAGAATCTGGTTAAGTTATTGGTTATTATTAAATTATTAGATAAATTTAATGGAGTAAAAACTAACTAAAGAATTCCCTTTCAACTGAAGTAGATCCTTAAAATTGCACCCAAGAACAGTATTTGGGTAAATGTAGGCTACTTAGTTACTTTCCACCACTAGCTGCATTAATACATAATATTTACCTATTTTGGAAATGACCTGATCTGTCTTGTAGAGGGGTCAAAATCCTATTGTATCAAGATATAGTTGTAGTTCAGACATAGAGGTACTGGTTGTTCTCTTGAGCTCTATAGGCAAAATATAATAAAACCATTTTTGCCCCAGGCCCCCATGGTTGAATGCCAATATCAATAATTCCTTTAGCTTTTTAGCTTTCTTGTGAAGACTACATGTTCATAATGCATCATAAGCTTAAGATTTGCATATACAAACAGCATGATTACTGTGTAGAATAATGTAATGTGCAAGATCCACAGCGCTGTAAGTTAGGAATATTACGTCATTTATACCTAAATAAAAGTACGTGATGCAATAATCTCAGTGTAAACTCACTGCAGATCCTTCAGGAGCATTACTGCTTGAGAATATTATAAAGATCTTTCATAAGGGCTTAGCAGTTATCTAAATATAAATATTAATTGACTAATTAAACTGACATTTTAAGGTTACTAACACATTTCCTGGAAGAGGGTTAATATCTTGAGCACCTTGATTTATGCCTCTCTGGAGAATTAGAAGTATGTGTAACAGACGTTTCAATATGTTGCTGCACTTGGAAAAACCTAAAAGATTACGAGGCTGCTGTGAAACTTTTTCAGCTTCATTCCTCCTGCAGACTTCTGAATGGATTCATGTTGCCCTTTTAAAAATCATTTCATGTAAAATTGGCCACAACAAATGTGGATTCAAGCGGAAATCGTTACTATATTTCTCAGTCAGTACGCACAAAGTTTAATTTGTGCTTCCTGTGGAATTAGTATCACAAAGTATGGCCACATGAGTAATACGTGACTGGGGAGTTTACAATATATTAAAAGAGCAAAAAGTCAGATCGTCATCATTTATGTATTTATTTTTATTTTGTTGAATTGCCAGTAGTTAACACACAAATTATGATTCAACATTTGCATACTGTACATCTCATTCCTTTTCTTAATTCCGCTGCATAATTCTCAATGTAAAACAAATGGTTTGTTTGAAGAGTAAGTTTCTATTTGGCCACTTATCAAGGCACTGTTGACCATACTGTGTAATCGAAACGTTTGCGTCAATTATGAATATTCAGCATCTGAGTTAGGCCAAATACTATTGTCGTGGTGCAGCGGGGAGATAAATTGATAAATCAATATCAATACTGTAATATTAAACTTAAAATAATTTTGGGTTATATAAAAACAATTTATAGCTTGAATGTTGCTCTCACAAACTGTGCCACAGTGAACTATCTCCAGATAGATTTGTATTTGGTTAAAAGGAAAGAGTTAAGAATAGTTGATTCCAGTTATCACTATGCTGTGGTCTCTGTTCATGGTAGAGATGATCTTTAACCTGAGCTCAGGGTTTAGGGTTACAAAGTCTGTGCTGATCCATTAAGTCAGCAATGTGAGGTTTTCAGTGGTTAGTCATTTCAAGTGGTTATTCAAGTATATTTTCAGCAGCTGATTTTTTGTTCAGATATCGAATATATAATATATAATAAGGTCATGTGGGTCATTTTGTAAGCAGGGTTGGTCTGTGAACAAGACATTTCTGTGACCTTTTGAGCCCAGATAATAAGCTGCTGTCCACAATATTTCTATCACAACCTGCTTAGCGAATTTAATCGACTACATCAGTATTTTAAGGTAACAGTAGTGCATTAAACTCACATTTACTTCTTTTAGTGAATCGTCCTTTACACTTTTCATGTTTTTATCATGTTTTTACATTGCTTTAAATAACATTACTCTTCTACTCATGGATTTGTTTTTCTGGTCCCTATTTCTCGGTGTTGGTGAATTATTAAAAAAACAAAACAGCACTTAATTTCGTGTTAAAATGTGTGATTGTAACGGGTATAATATTACCTATTTTCTTTTAGTAATGCGTTATATTACTGCGTCACAGCAAAAAGCAATAGGCCTACATTACTGCAATTGCGTTACTTTTGTAACGCAATTTTGTAAGTCCCAACACTACACCAGATACAATATGAACTACTCAATTGCTACAAAAATGAATAAGTAGTAAGTAGTAAATATAGCCTATTAAATATAGTTGGTTTTAGTGTGAAAAAAGGCCCAATGTAAACTTGTAAAATGTAATCACTAAAACGAAGTTGTGGTGTATCACAAATTAGAAATGTGTCAGATGTTGTATGCTTGCCTTTCTTCGTGAAATGAAGGTTTCCGCCTGAGCCAATTCTGAAAACAGGCATCTCTGTCGTTTTGTCGCTTTATCAACATTACAACTCTGATATAATCTACTTTCTGCGATGGACTGGCGACCTGTCCAGAGTGTACCCCGCCTTTCGCCCAATGTCAGCTGGGATTGGCTCCAGCCCCCCCGCAACCCTGTACACAGGATAAGCGGTTGACAATGGATGGATGGATGGATTTAATCTACTTTGTTTTTCCAGCCTTGGCAATACAATCGCTTTTGAAATGTTGTGTGAATAACTAATGCCTCTTAGCACCACTAGATGGCCCTATAAGCATGGGGGAAGTTTTTTTCTGATGAATTGCTGTCTTGTTGACACAAACTGTCAGCGGGAGAAAATCATCAAAAATGCTTCTAACAAGTAAGATTCCCTGAGGTGAAACTGTATGGGTAATTCCGCGTAGAGGAATGTCTTTTTCTGATGTTCTGGTGAACGTGTGGCGTTTCTATTTCTATTTGTGTTGTGCTAATTGACGGGAAGTATATTTTGAAACAAAAAAGGTCAGTTTAAATGTTAATGATGTACACATTTTGGTTTACATGAAGTTGGCACTGCAGTGCGAGCAGGTATTGGAACATTTCAATTGAATTTCTGTCAAAACGCTGCTGGCTTTTCAAGAGTCAACAACCCTTTGACAAGGTACATCTAATTCATTTGGCTGGTTTATTTTGATGACTCACTACTTAGATGTCCTCTCATCTAATTCATCACTGTTTGTGCTGTTCGTAGTGGAAAACACTCTTCCTCGCAGATAATGGGGAAAGATGGTGTGCTCAGTGTAACAATTTGAAAGTTGCATAGGCTCTTCTGTCCACCAGAATCATTAGTAAGTCAATTGTAGTATAATTGAATACTTACATGTAACTGAGGAGAAGGTGAATAGAATCAAACTCGGCTCATCACTATTAATTAACAGTGACATAGCTTAATTAAGCTAATTCAGTGTAAAACATCAAATTAAGTGAATATTAGTTCAGAAGGGTACATAGTGGAGCTGTTTCTAGATATCTTAACAGACCCTGGACCCACTCAGGATAATACAAAGCCACTCAAAGTAATCCAAATCTGCATGCCAGCGGCGCAGAACACAGCAGGATGCACATTATATCTCAGACGAATGTCACTTGTTTGATTGCAAAGCAGAATGTGACAGCAATTGGATGTGAGTGTTGAGCCATTTTTGTTGGAAGTGAAGTGAAGACAGCCAGCATCATCCCTGACTCAATCATCACATGAATTTTCACCCACTGGGAATATGGGGCTGACTTCTAGACATATCAAATGCTGGAGCAGGCACAGTCAAATAAAACCACATCCTGTCCCAGACTTCATATTGGAAGACCACCTACAGTCTTAAGTCTTGGCATATTGCATTACAGTGTAGCATTAGAATAATTGCACTCTCACTGTAGCATGAAGTCTTGTTTGGATGCAGATTTATTAACCTGAGGTATATTTAGACTTTTATCCACTACAAATACAGAACACAAACTACTGTTGTCGTATTTGTGAGTCCATTTTTTGGGCTCTAATATTTGAACAATAACACATTTCCTTTATGGGGTTCCTCAATGGACGTTTCTAAACCTTTGTCCTTTTGGATGTCAAGACAGTTAGTAAATAGTTAACATCTAAAAGGGGCAAGGTTTCTAATTTACAGCAAAAAGTTCAATGCTCATTATAGATGTATTATAACTTTTGAGGTTTTAGCTCACAAATGGTCTTGAAGGTCAAAAATTTAAAGATATGGACAAAGAACAAAACCAACGATGTGTTAGTCCTCGTAATATTTATGACTTTGCTACGCAGTGTGTGGCATGTGCGCCCATTTCTTCCTACTGAAGAAACAAGTTTTAATAAAACAAACACCCACAAATACATAGTTAGATTTAAAAAAGTCTAGTTTCTGAAACAGGTGAGTACTGTAGCTTTTAGGTCAAACAGGAGTGCATTTTCTTGGTACTTTTTCAGCTG